TAATAAGACTCTGCAGTTCCACCTTGCACTTCTCATCTGCAAACCTCAAGGCATCCAGGAAACATTAATTAATTAAACCCCGTGAACGAGGTAAGGACATAAGAAACGCACCTCCAGGGAGCCGACGTGGCAGCTGTTTAGGAGCAGGCGGAATACTAAGTGGCAGTCAGTAAGGAGCCATGGGCACAGGCAATTAAAAAGTGGTGAGAGGCGTGTGGGGTGAGGCTCTGTCCTGGAACTTGGCCGGGATTCTGGCATGGAATGCTAGCAGGAGGAAGGTCTGGCTGCAAGGTCGGGCGGGACTCAGTCATTTGAAGTAAGTTCTGCATGACGACGCTGCCCAGCGTGCTGAATATTGTTTGTTGTTTTTAGTTTTAAAATACTTCCTTTTTTAAATATTAACTATTGACTCTTTATGTCCAAATACCATTTCTTCTTTAGTCTAAGAAGAGAATAGAAGTGAGGCATAAAAAAACAAAAGAAAACAAAAACAAAAAACAAAAAAAACCACCAGTAAAACACCAAATCCTCAGAGTAAAATATTCAGTATTGGTAATCTAAAGATTTCTCCTGTTTTTTTTTCTTCTGTTTTGGAAATAGCCTAGAGGCAAGAAAATGGTAGATTATGTTATAAGCAACAATCAAATTAAAGGTGCACATATTTTGGACCTTAGAAGAAAACTCAAATGTTTGTAAGTAGAAGTTTAAATACATTAGTTGCAGTTGGAGGACAATGTAACTGCTTTTAACCCTACCTAACATTTGACCATTTTATGACTCTGAGCTATTCTTTACACCTGGAAACCTCAGGCAGAGAGGGGTTTTCCGTTTTGAGATCCTCACTTATCTTCACGCATAAAGAACTAATGATTCGGGCTTTAGATGAAAGAGGGGTGGTAGGTTTAGAGAGAAATTTCAGCTGTAAGAGAAAATATTGATTATCGCTGCTTAGTGCCAAGGACCTCACATACTACAGTGTCATTTCATCTTCATATATACATTTATACAACTAATGCTCTAAGCAAGTGACAGGTAAGACAGCTCTCCTCCTTCACGTTTCTTCCCTTTGAGAGTAGTTTCAGAAAAGACAGCTTTTCTCTATGTGCTTGCGTGTTTAGAAATATAAGTCACACACAGGTGTGTTTTTGGTTATTACTCTGGTTTCTTTTCCCATTGTGACAAAAGGGGCCGAAGGAGGAAAGGCATGGTATGGCTCGCAGCTTGAGGTTGCGTCCATCACGACAGGGGAGTGGCAGGAACTTGAGGCAGCCGGCCACTCAACATCCACAGCGGAGCAGAAGAGCTGTATGAGGAGCTCACTTACATCAGCTCACATTCTTTTCACACAGTCCGGGACTCCAGCCCAGGCAACGGTGCCACCCGCAGTATCTCAAGTAACTTAATTAAGACATTCTCCCACAGGCGTGCTCAGAGCCCCGCCCCACTCATACAGGCGACAGTAGGGGCTAACCCTCACAATCGTAGATAGATAATGAAACCGTAAAATGATGTTGTGCCTCCCACAGCACCGTTTGCGTAGCTTCAAAAAATGAAACAATCAGGGCGGGCAGTCATTTTCTTTCCAGGACTGATGTACATGGATCTAGGCCCCCTTGACTTTTAAAGTGTTTGTTGAGGCCTGCGCTGGTGCTCGGCTCGGTTCGCCTCTTTGTGTGTGGCGTGGTGCTTCTCTCTCCCAGCCCTCGACGCCGCGTCCTTGTCTGTGTACTCAGCGTGTAACTGCGATGTGACACGGGAGGTTCTTTTCCGGCCCTTTAGCGTGGCGTTCTAGATGCTTCCTGCATCTGGCAGAATGGTCCCTACTTGGATTTGAGACACTTTCTGCTGTGATTTTATCGAACATATTTTCTACGCCTTTGGCTTGTGCCTTTCCTCCTCCTCCTACTTCCGTAGCTGCAGATTTGGTCTGTTATGGTGCCCCAGAGATCTCACTCGGTCTGTTTCATACTTTGCTATTATTGCTTTAACGTCTTTGAAGCTTTCCTTCCTTTAGCTTGTCTTCAAGCCCTAATAGTCGTCTGCCTTCCTCTTGATACATTCTATCGGTGAGTCCTCTTGATACATTCTGTTGGTGAGACTTCCTATTGAATATTTTTTGACTCCCTGAGATGATCACTTCCAAGGCTTTAATTTGATACTTCCCACATTTTTACGTTTAGAGGCCAACCATTCTTTCACATCCCGAGCCGACCATTCATTTGGGTTCTCTTTGACTCTGCTCAGAAGTTTGTGTTCTCTTTGATTTCACTGGGCATCCAAAAACAAAAATAAAATATTTTCTGGGATTCTTTTTCATCTCCTTTACTCCTGTTGAGGCTCATCACTCAGGAACCAGTGCATTTTTTTTTTTGGAGAAAACCGAGTTGCCTTGAGTTTTGGAGTTGCTTGTGTGTCTTCAGTGGGACTTGGCATCTCCAGGATTAGGTTGGTGGTTGGGCTGCTTTAGTCGCCCGAATTCTCTCAGTTGGAAATGTTTGCGGTGTTAAGTGGGACTGGGGTGTATTAAGGTTTGGATTTCATTTCTTCTCACTGGAGTGGGAGTGAGGCTCAGCAGCTGACCCCTCAGCCCCACTTGCCAGGGTGGTGGTGTGGTATCCAGCGTGACCCCGAGGATAGAAAACTAACCCCTGAAGCAGCCACAACAGATGCACGGGCCACTGTGAAAACACCGTAACTGGCTGGAAGATACTCCGCTATTAGGTGCTCGCTGCTCAGTCATGAGGCCTGGACTTTGAATCTTGGCACCCACGTCGGGAGGCTTACAGACACCTGCAACTTCAGCTTCATGGGGTCTGAGGCCCTCTCTGGCCTCTCTGGGCACCTGCACACACACTCACAGACACATGCATACACATAAATACTACAAAAGAGAAAAAAACAGCCAGTTATAGAGACAATGGCTCCCTAACTCTGGTAAAGCTTGGAGAGTAAAGGAACAGGGGTAGACCAGTGTGTGCGTGCTAAGGTTTACTAAGGGCAGGGATTGGAAAAGAACAAGCTGAGCAAGATGAGCAATTAGTATCAGAGCCATGGGGGAAAACTGAACTGACAAAAGTCAGCAGAAGGGAGAAACAATAAATAAGGAAGAAGAGGAGGCAGGCCTAACTAATGGCAGATCAAAACGAGGAAGGGATTGAGTCTCAACCACAGCATAAAAGGTGAGGTTGTGGCAGGGAGGTGCCCAGTCCTGAGCCAACCTTTGTCTTTTAGGACAGGTAGTGGGGAAGTCCTGTGTATATGTCAATAAAGCACTGTTGGCCAATAGGGAAGCAAGATAGGTGGGACTAGGAGTCCAGGAGGACTCTGGGAAGGAGAAACACAGGAAGTGAAGATGTAACCGCCATAGAGGTAAGAAGCCCGGAAACTTTTCTCTGGTAAGAGAAATACTTAGATTAGCAGTTATGTGGTAAATACTTAAGTCAGAGCTAGCCAGTAAGAAACAAGCAAGGCCAACAGCTTCATAATTAATACAGAGTCTTGTGTGTTAGTTGGGGACTACAACTTGGCAGAGCCCAGGTGACTGGTGGGGAAAAAACCAAAGCGGCCGGCAAGGAAAAGGCTTCTCTCTACAGACAGGCTGTCTAAAAGCAGAAGGGGAGGACAAAGAAGTTCACAAAATGGAAACTGAATATGAGTAGAGTCTGCCTGTCTCCATGTGGGTCACTTACATGGGACGAGTGCAGACCATCTGCGTCACCGCTTACCTAAGCACAGATGCAGAGCCTGCCTCTAGGGCTGGCTTGCTTTTACTTCTCTGGCTATTTGGGCTGGTGTCTTCTAGTGAGAACAGGACCTTTGGTTAACACTTCTGGCGTTGACCTTTGCGCGGTGGGCATCGTAGAGGTGTTGGAAAGGACTGTCAGGAAGTTTCCCCCTCCCTTGCCTGAGACCCCCTGTCAGTGCTCATTTCTACTCTGGGGAGGCACGAGTCATACTTTAACCTCTGTCTCTGACAGGGTTCCCACCTCATGCAACACGGCAGGGCAGGAGTCGGAGAAGAGTCACCTGGCACTTGCTCTGGGTTCTTGTAGTGGCAGGTCCAAAAAGGGACAAGTCTCTAGAGATGCCTAGCCGGTGACCGATGAGGGAGCCTTTAAAATGGCTTCTTGTGGCTGGTGTGAGTTTCCATTAACCTCCAACAGCCCTATCATCAGGGAGCCAAGCTGTCAAAACATAAACCTTTGAGAGGATATTTATGACCAAAGTGTAACATTATATTTCTAAGATCCATGTGTATTTTTGTTGCTTTGGAAAACAATTGGCATTGCCTCAAGAAGTCAAGCATCTACAGACCTTACTACAAGTCATTCTGAAGTTTGTATCACAAAGAAACTCTTAGAATATGTATATATATAAATATACATATATATATACACACACAAGGAGATGAGTTCAACAACATGAATGTACATGTGGAATTTTAGGCCTGATACTGTAATCTGCTAGTTTTAATATCTGACCTTATTAAAATGCTCTTGTTCTATAGATAGATTAGTCTTATGGTGACAAAGGTTATACATTTCAGTCATGACCAGAGCAGTGTTTATTAAGGGACATGTTTTTCCACTGCTAAGGTAAAAGCTTCCTGGATACATTTCATCACACTCTATGTGTCATAGGGCTTCACTGAGCCTCTCCTCCCCCTCCCCTCCTCCCCTCCTCTCCTCCTGTCCCCTCCCCTCCCCTCCTCTCTCCTGCCTTCTTCTCCTCCTTCCCACTCCCCCTTGTAAATTATAGTAACTTTAACATTCTTGAACTCCCAAGTATTTCCCTATTTAGCAATATTTTTGCGTTATGCCTGATTCGATTATTTTTCTTTACCATTGTGTGAATACTTTTTTTTAGCTGAATGAAAAACACCAACAACTCCTTCATTGACTCATCATGTTCAGTGCTGTCAGTGGATATCTCATGTGGCAAGGAAAGTCTAAGGGCTATTTCTCCTCCTCTGCCAGACTGGCACGTCCACTCTTTAAAACTGATCTATCTGTTGTATTTTTTTCTCACAACCATTCCTGCATAAAAAGAATCGTTTCTATCATTAGGTCTTGTACTAGTTAGATATGTAGCACCCTGGTTTTTGTTTCAAATTGCTGCCTCTTATTGAATACTCTTATCATTTGTGCCATTCTTCAGCTGATCCTATTTGCACTGGGAAAAGACCCTGTTGTAGGGAGCCTCTGAGGATGTTGATCTCTTCGGTGAAGCACTATTCAGTGATCCTGGCTGACAGAGGTGCTCAGAAAAGATTCATTTTTTAAAATATATCAATGCAAAACTTATTTTGGGCCTATAGAGATGAAATAGAAAGTCACAGAGAAAAAGAACAGTGAAGACGGAGGTTTCTGTCCCACCTGGTCCCATGCCACTTTGATCCAAATAAATACACAAAGACTTATATTAAGTATAGAAAGTATGACTTCAGGCTTCTTAGTGGCTGTCTCTGTCTTAATTATTGGCCCATTTCTATTAATCTATGTATTGCCATTGGGGTTGTGACTTACCTGTAATCTGACACATTACTCCTTGGGCAGCATGCTGTCTCTTTGCCGCCTCTCTCTCCACACTTTCTCCTCCTCTGGTAGCCCCACCTAGGCTTCTTGCCTGGCCACTGGCCAATCAGTGTTTTATTCATCAGCCAATAAGACAAACATATATACAGAAGGACATGCCCCATCAGAACAGTACAATTCGTTCCTGATATAGAACTTGTTTATGTGTCTTTGAAATAAAAATTTGTGTGGATTTTCTGCTCCTTGGCCCCTGCAAGTATTACCTGTGCCCCTGGCACAGGGTGGGGAAGCTGAGGCCAAATGAACTTGGAGACACTGAGTACTTGATCAGGCTAAGTGCATATTTGACCCCATCAATGACACCTTCACTGACTTCAACTGTGTCATCTTTATGATGCAGTATGGGCCCAGAAATTCATGGTGATCTCAATGACACAGCAACACAAGAACAGAAGGCATGCCATTAGTAGGAAGTCCATCTCTGTCTCCAGGAGTATGATCACACCCGTATCAAATGGAGTGATGCCAGTGTTCAATAAGCAATGGAGGCCACTGGTGTCTTCAGCACCATGGAGAAGGCTGTGTTAAAATCTGTCAGTTCCCACTCTGTAGCTTGGAGATGATCTTAACTCATTCAAGTTGTAAATTTTCCCAGCTCTTGGTATGATCCACAATTTCTTTTGAACATCGAACCCAGAATATTTTAGCTGTATATCCGATGACTTAATCACATCTTATTTTCTGGGCATTCTCCCTTCTTACATTCAACATATCTTGTCCAGTTTCGTGGGCCAAAGTTCCACTAATGATTTGATTTTTTCAGAGACTGCCATTTGAACTTGGTACAGGTGAGAAGTCTTGAATCTTACTTTCCCCTAAAATCTGGAAACTTTTATTTGATTGTGGTACAGCATACAGCATTTTTTTTCCATTTTAATGTTTTAAAGTCCATGGTTCCGGTGGCTCTTTCCTCGGGCACACAATTCAACATAACGAGGTTCATCCTTTTAGTCTTGAATTGAAAGGGTGGTGCTACATGGCTCAACACAGGCTGGATTAGTTACTAGTCTGGTGTCACGCCCAAACACCTGGCAGGAAGCGGCAGATGTATAGCCTCCCAGGTACCACACCCCTAAAGAACACTGACTCTCCCTCTCCCGGAAGTCATGATGGTCAATAGCTCCTCGGGTAGAGGGTGGACTTCATGAACACCCCTCCCCCACACTATGGTTTTTATCAACTATTCCTTTTTGTTTTTTTCCTCTCCCCAACCAAGATAGGGGTTCTCTGTGTAGCCCTGGCTGTCCTGGAACTTGCTCTGTAGACCAGGCTGGCCTCAAACTCAGATATCCACCTGTCTCTGCCTCCCAAGCACTCAGGTGGGCCACCATCACCTGCTTTAGCAGTCATTCTTCTAACTTTCTAAAATGATTCTTTTTTAACGTTAAAAAATGTACATTGATATTTTGCCTGCATGTATGACTGTGTAGGGGCATTGGATCCCTTGGAACTGGAGTTACAGACAGTTGTGAGTCACCATGTGGGTGCTGGGAATTGAACCTGCATACTCTGGAAGAGCAGTCAGTGCTCCTAATCTCTGAGCCATCTCTCCAGCCAGCTGCTAGCATCTGTTCATAATAAGCACTCTAAGTCACAACAATAATGGACAAACTCTTCAGCATCACAAAGACCATTCAGAAAAACTGGAACGGGAGTCAGAAAACTGTGGGCTGTGTATCAGATACAAGCCACTGTGTATTTATATAAATTAAAATTTGTTGGAATGGGTCACACTAATTTGCATATGCACCGTCTGCCTTCTTTCTGTCCTTTGTGTTGTACGGAAGACTTGAGAAACGCCAACGACGGCCAGACAGATCACGAAGTTCGAGGTGTGTATTATTTGGCTTTTTATGGGAAAAAATCTTTCTCAACCCCGTGTTAAAGAGGTAAGAACAACTGAACAGTATACCTACTCTCAGATATTGTCTATTCTGTCCTCTACTTCAAAGGAAAGGCAATCTTAAATCCAAATCCGATGATGCAATTTTCCTTAGAAACCTTGGTAGAATGCCTTTCCCACCATGCTTAGAAAGAGACCCAAGCTTACTTGTAGGATCTGTAGATAGGCCCTGGATGACCCGCCCTCTGCTGCACCTCCAACTTGCTGTCTCTCTCTTGTTCATCAAACTCCAGTTCCACGGAAGGAGGAATAGCGTATGATCCACTTGAAGAAATGCAATGGGATTGGTTTGGCGGGAGTCCTGACAATGGGGGAGTGGCCAGAGCTTGAAGTCATCATGTGTGTTGGGCATCAAGGAATATGCCGCTGAAGAGCGGTGGTAGAAACCCGGCTGGATCCCTCACAGCAAGCGGAGAAAGCATTCCTTTCTCCCCTCTCAGGTGTGGGGATGAGCGTGCCGCGAGACCTGATGCACGCTCGGATCAAACATCTTTGGAAAAGTACAGGCTTCTGTAGCTCTGATTTTAGAGTGACTCCTTTTCTCCCTAGAGAAATTTACTTCGGTACCTGCCAATCACACGCTGTCTACAAGAGCAGTGCTAGTTCCTTAGGTGCTGCTGCTCGCCGCACCACTGTTCTCTGCAAGAAGGAACAGCCTTGGAACTTGTTTGCAAAACCCTGTTGCTGGTTTCCCCAAGGTAGAGGATTGGGGCACGAGGGGTAAATGCTGGAGGCCTTGAATGTGTCTTTGCTTCCTTCTTCGGAGCCAGAGACAGTCTGGAAATGAATATCTTTTTTATGTGGAGTCAAGTTCAAAACAACATGCCAGGTACCCAATTTACACCTGTGGGGAAAAGAAGAAACTTCAATGAGAGCTAATTGAATAGTTTTTGCCCTCGTAGCAGGCACTTGTTTCCGCTAGTGGAGAGAAGGCCCCTGGAGAACCAAGGATCCAGTGACCCCAATTTCCCTGGGAATGCCTGCATTCTGGAGAAGCCCAGGATTTCCGAGGAAGTGCTTCTGCTTGCCGAACATGTGGCCTCTATGCGAGATGAGCAATTGGTCCCTGCGCTCTCAGTGGCTGTCTCCTGTAGGACTTCTGCCAACTGCTGGAGAGAGAGCAGTGGCTGTGAGGTGATCCCCAACTGTCGAGTCCCGCTGTTGTGTGACTCTTCCCTGGGGAGACGTGAGTGAATGCCTCTTCTTCCTGTAGAGCAATGGGTGACAGACCAAAACAAGTATTCCACCAAGGTCCACCTTGGTAAAGCAATGGCTTTCTCAGGCTCCCTTCCAGAGCCTGGCGAGGGGTTTCTGAGGGGAGTGTGGACCACTCAAGAACACCAGAGTGATGACTTATGGTGATTGCCCTGTCGGAACTTCCCCATTAAACCTGGCAGCTTGGCCAGGGCATCCTTCTCCTGGCAGCTGTTGCTGCTTGTACAGCCTGTAGGAGGGACTTTGTAGCTCTCCGGTTTCAGGAACTTCCTGAGCCTTGTGAGGTCTCTTTCCTTCCCTAATCCCAGTGAGCCTCCTGAAGGATGGGATGCTTTATGTCTCAACCCAGAGGGAGTTGCTCAACACAAGATCTCTTCTGAGGGAACCCAAACCTGACAGATCCAGGCGCACTTGCCCCTGAGGGTCTGGAAGGCTGTTCTGAGCAGGAACTGCATGAGCCACAGTGGAGCAGGACGGACTTGTTCGGGGATGTACATAAAGAATGCCCTAGGTCAGGAGAAACGAGGTCTCCCACTGGTGACAGGGGCATGAGCTGATCTTGAATTTAATTTAAAATTTGTTCTGGATGGGCACCGGGGGAATAGCTTGGTGGTAAAGTGCTAGGCACTCAGGCCTCAAGGCCCTGAATTTCAAGCCCTAAACCTCAAACAAACAAACAAAAAACAAATAAACAAAACCAACAACAACAGAAAAACCCTTGTCATGGTGGTGTCATTTGCAGTCCTAGCACTGGGCAAGTGAAAACAGGCAATTCTCCAGAGCTGTCTCGCCAGCCATCCCAGCCTAGCAGATTGGGTGAGTTCCTGTCCGAGCAAGAGACCCTATCCCAGTAAACAAAACAAACACAAAATCAAGGTGGATGGTATATCTTGAGGAACATCGGCTGGGGTTGACCTCTGACCTCCACCGCTGCGCACACATAAGAACAGCATCAAAAACACAAACAAACAAGCAAAAAAATGAAAGATTTCGGCCTGAGGAAAGGGAGGCTAACGGTCATTGTAGACAGAACTTGGGGACGGGTCATCAAGGCTACTCAAAAGGCCTCTCTGGCCTGGACTCTGCTTGGCATCCGCCCTGCCATTGGTCCCTCATCATCTGCAGATCGTGTCAGCTGCTTAGCCTTGACTTATTGAAGCCCCCCCTTCCCCAGCCCCATGCCCTGGTCCTTAGTCTCTAGGAGCGTCTTACCCTAGTAGCTCTCTGGGATTCCCATGGCATTTGTACCTTCAGGCTCTGTCTCTGATTATTTCCTCTAGAACGTTCCTCCTGACTGCCAGCCTGGATGTCAAATGCTTCCTTCCAAGATATCCCAAGTCCTCACCTTCGGGGTCATGAAGGGTAGAAGAAGGGAGAGACTGTTTTTCTTACTGGTTGATGAAGAAAACACTGATTGGCCAGTAGCTAGGCAAGAAGAATAGGTGGGGGGAGGGGCTCCAGATAAGGGGAATTCTGGGGAGAGGAAAGAGAGAGGAGCCACCAGGAGAGACACCATGCTGCCAAAGGAGTAACATGCCAGATTACCGGTATGCCACAGCCTCGTGGCACAACATAGTTTAATAGAAATAGGTTAATAATTAAGAGAGATATAACCAGTAAGAAGCCTGAGCCATTGGCCAAACAGTTTATATTAATATCTATCAGTGCGTATAATCGGGACTAAACAGCTGTAGGACAAGGCAGGAAGAAATTCCCTTTACAGAGACTCCTTGTGTTTACTCCAGGGCCTCTGCTCTCAATCCATGATGTCTCACCTGCAGGAAGAGCTCAGCAGGCACTGGTCTACACTGGTCGCAGTTTCAGTGTGTGAGCGCTCACTTTGGGAAGTGAAGTGCCCTTAACTCTGCCTCTTTTCCTGCTATGGTATTGACAGCAAGACACATTTACACCCGGGTTTACTTTTCAAATTTGTAGAACGCCAACCTTGTTTCTATTTATCCACAAGGTCATTTTCTTCTTCTTCTCCTTCTTCTCCTTCTTCTCCTTCTCCTCCTCCTCCTCCTCCTCCTCCTCCTCCTCCTCCTCCTCCTCCTCCTTCTCCTTCTTCTTCTTCTTCTTCTTCTTCTTCTTCTTCTTCTTCTTCTTCTTCTTCTTCTTCTCTCTCTCTCTCTGTCTCTCTCTCTGTCTCTGTCTCTCTCTCTCCTCTTTTGCTTTTTTGAGACAGTCTTACTATGTAGCTGATCCTGCTGGTCTCTACCTCCCAAGTGCTGAGCCTAGTTTGTGCCCAGCTTCCCACAGGCCAATTCATCTGCTATCAGCACACATCCACACCCAAGAACGTTGGCAAAGTTTAGCTCATGAACATAGAACTACATCAACGCGTGTTAAGTGGATAGCTCTTCCGAAATGGCAGGGATCAACAACTTGCTGATCGGATATGATCTAATATCAAGGGAGAGATTAGAAGCACACCTTAGAATCAAAAATCGCATGTATCTTTGTAAACAGGTGGAGGAAGGGAGGCTGACAAGGGCCTCGGGAATGCCTTCTCCTCATTGGGAGTGTGATCTGTGGCAAGGTTACACTCTCTTCTGTGTCCTCCCAGCAACTGATACAGTGTACGATATGGAATCTTGCAGTGAAGAGGAGATGGGCTCCGTGTGCAATCCTAGGGTAGCTCCTGGCACAAGAGTAGCCCAATAGCACACAGTTTGTCTTGCGGCATGGCGTGGGACTAGATGGGCTGCGAATGGCCTGTTGGCTGTCTATGGAGACCCGAGACCCAGACTCTCTCTAGCTACTGTGCCCCAGAATGCAGAATAAGCTTTGGGGGTGACTTATAGAGACAGCACTATAAGCAGTGTTGGCAATAGCAGCAGCAGCTACAGTGACAGCCGCCAGCAGGTCTGTGCTTCTGAGCAATACTGAGACATTCTCGGGGTTGGCGAGGAGGCTAGGGTCTTACTCAGTGGCCTGAGACACTCAACTGGGTGCAGTAGTTTCTGGGGGGGTTTGTCCCTCCCTGACTGCATGACACCATCCTACAGCATGAAAGAGCCCTCATGAGTCAACAGGAGGGCCACCTGAAGGATCCAGCATGTATCACCCCGGGAAACAGAGGCACTGACATCTTCTATTAAAATGCAAATACAGTGTGGAAGCCACGGCACATTGATCTTTTACCGTTGTTTCTGAAGTTATAAATCAGACGCGTGAGCCGGGCAGGTATCAGAGCACCCGGATACTCTGTCATCCCTAAAAATAGCTCGGTGCTAAGTTGTCATAGTGTATCTTCTATGCTCAAGCCTGGACAATTTCATTTTCTTTTCACTGATTTTTATGGTTGCATGCAAGTAATTCAGGCCCGGCTCGTACAGCATTACACATTTCTACAGCACAACAAAAACAATAGTTTGGAAATGAAGGATACTCTGGGAAAGTAAACACTTTTGTAGGTCCTGGTTAGTTCAAACTCAGACTTTTGGTTTCTCTTAGCATGTCCTGATATCATCATCATCATATCATCATCATCAAAATTCTCCCTGTACATGTGGACACAGGGAAAATTGCTTCATCAACAACACCTACTTTATGTCCTTAAGTAAAGGAACGGACAAATTGAGCACTTCTATTGTGAAAAGCTTGGGGTGGGGTGGGTGTGAAATCAGGAGACAGATTCTCATAAACCTTGCACTAGCAGGATGTGTTCTAGACCAAGAGTGCAGTGAGCTGTTCTTGGTTATGGGGGCTACAACACTTCACAATGATCTGAGATCCGAATGAAAGGCTAAGTGTAAATGGAGACAGACAGCGGCTCATTCTTGCAAGGAGAACGGCGTTTATTTATTTATTTATTTTTTTGGTTTTATGAGACAGGGTTTCTCTGTATTGTTTTGGAGGCTGTTGGTCCAGCCCGGCCTCGAACTCACAGAGATCCGCCTGCCTCTGCCTCCCGAGTGCTGGGATTAAAGGCGTGCGCCATCACCGCCCGGCTGAACAGCGTTTCTTTTAACAAGAGCGGAGCCTTAAATACCTGTTGGGCACTGGTGGAAAACCACCAAGGTCAGAAGCCTATGTTCCCAGGGCCCTCCTGGCAAAGGATGGGACAAAAACAGGAATTATCATTTAGACAATTAAGGATGGATGGAAAACAGGAACTTGCGTGCAGGCCTTACTGGGAGGAGGGGAAAAGAGGTGTTTTGCTAGAAGCTCCCAGTCACAAGCTGGTCAGCAGACCCCCTTCGGGGAAGAGGGAAACAGGGGCTGAGAGGGACAGTGAGATGAGAGGAGGGGGCGTGGCAAGGCAAGGGGCGGGGTACCGAAGGCTGGAGAGGCAAAATGGCTCCCAGGTGCTGAGCTTGGTTGGCTGGTGTCCTGGGACCGACACAGAGGGGGGGGGAGGGACAGGACGAGGGACGATTTGGGGCACAGCACAGGCTTGAACGAATGCGTGTTAGGGTGCCCTGCTGCCTCTGATGAAGATGAGCTCCTTACTGAGTTCTGGCTTCGGCATGGGCTCCATTCCTCGGTTGTCTTCACTGGGGATTTGCACCACCAGGCAATGAGAGGGGCTTCAAAAGATGCACCCGCGTACCGCCTTGGCACCCCTAGAGTTCTGGCCGAGTGGTTGAGACGATGGGTACCTGGTTGTGCCAGACACCGAGCCGCCACGTGAGCAGCGGTGAATGGGAAGACAGAACCGCTGGGACGCGACACGTGGCGGTCTGCAAGCAGCAGAACTGGACGGTGTTTTGGGGAGAGCATGCAGTGGGGGAGGAGGTGATGGGGGAAGTCCTGCCTATGTGTCAATAAAGCGCTGTCGGCCAATAGGAAAGCAAGATAGGTGGGACTAGGAGTCGAGGAGGATTCTGGGAAAGAGAGACACAGGCAGTCATGATATAGCCGCCAGAGGAATAAGAGGTCCGGACCCTATTCTCCGGTAAGAGAAAGTACTTCGATTTACAATTATGGGGTAAATAATTAATATAGCCTCCTGTGTGTTTATTTGGGGACTGCAACTGTGGCAGGGCTCAGGCGGATGGTGGGAAGGCTTCACTCTACAAGGAGGGGTGTCATTATCCCTAGAATCGAGAGCTTGGTTGCCCCTTATGATCATTTTATAAGGAAGCTCTCATGAAACGAAAAGGTATTTCAAAGTATCGATCCCGTTTAAAAACAAGCAAAGCAAGGGGAACAGGCACACATGCTGCTGTAATAACCTTGTTGACATTTATGTACCAGAGAGAAGGAGGGAGGGAGGGAGGGAGGAAGAGGTCACTAGAAATCGAGAGCAGGGTTTTCTGAAACCTGAATGAAGGCAACTTTCTGCCCTCAGGAATAACCATTACCATACTGGGTAAGGGACACCCAGAGACGTGGTTTTCCTTTCCTTTAGCTACCTCTCCAGCGGCCTTGTGTCCGGGGCTTGCTTTGGGTTCTCTGTCTCTGGAAGCCTGCTGACGTTCACGGAAGCTCACCCAGTTCCTGAGTGCATCTTATTGTGACTGATAACAGAAGTCACCAGGGCTCCGGTGCCGGAACTCATAGGCCTTCACCAGTGCTTCCAGGACAGATGGCTGCTCACACCATTGTTGTCTAGGGCTGTCTACGCGGTGTAATTAGAGTCCCTCAATATGAGGCTGAAAGCATGTGTAATGATAACAAGTCCTAGCAAGGACATTACTTCAGGCTATTGAAAAATACTCAATATTCTAATGGCGGTGTAGGCGGCTGTTAACAGTGGGGCTGGAGATTTTAGAATCATTGGAAATCATTCCCCTCTGATGGGGCTCCCATGATTTATTATGGACAATCAGGAGCAGTAGCAGGTTTGGGACACTTGACATTTGTTGTACACGTTTTTTTTTGCATCAACCTTGCCTTCTGATGGTGGCCGTGTTAAGGGTGAGGACTTCACTGTCTCAATTAAAATAGTGCCATCTAGTGGTGAATATTTCAAAATGTAGCCAGGTGCCCAGAGAGTTGCCAGGCACCCTCATGGGACCAGTGCCTAAAGATTTAACATTTGCATATATAGATTTATGACATTTATAATTCATCTATTCTTTTACCTAATTTATTTTACAATTACTCAAGAATGGGCCTCTTGGTGGGGGGTTGTATTTAAGCAGGGAGGAAGGCACTGCTCTGGTCTCCAGGGACTTTTAAGATCTAGATTTTTCTTTGTAATCTGGAGCCAATGACTATGACATAAGAACGCGGGGAGCCCGGGAGACTCTGGTGCTGCCAGGGCCTTGGCGGTGTTGTTACGAGTCCTACCTCTGTGTATACAGATGGTCCTGGTTTGGAAGTGTGGAGGCCAGGAAGAGAGCACCAGATAGAGGTGTCATCTTCTTGAGCTACCGTAGGGTTCCTGGACCTCCGAGATCTCTCTTGGTTCTCTTTGTATCTCTTGCCCTATGCCCTCAGGCTCACAGATGTCCCTCCTGGTCCTTCTAGGGTGCAGACATATGATAGTGCGTTGAAAGCCTGGAATGTTTCTCAGGCAAACAGCAGTGAATTTTATGTGCCTTATCTGCCTTTTTTTTTCTCATTTATATTTCCCTTTCTTCCCTGGGGGTTTTCTCAAGCACCTTCCTCCTTTCTCCATGGCTGTCCTTGTGCAGCCCAACCAACCACACAGTTCTTTTCTGAAGAAGTTCACACTTGTGCAAGTCTGCTGAGGCCGCTGTCCTTTCCTGCTCCAAGGGATGTTTTTGCTTAAGAACCAGGCCAGTAATATTGACCTACCTACCTTAATTAGCATTGGTAAAGTGTTTTTAATTATGATTTCGTAAGCTCTAACATCCAAACACAAGCTTGTTATACCTCCTTTTCACTTGTTTTAAGTTACACTTTTGGGGTAGAGTTTAACACTTACAAAATTTCCACTTCATTTGCTTTTTAACACCAAACTCCTAGAATAAGTCTTTTCACTTTCCTTCTAATTGGTTCTTATTAGTTCCCTCGCCCTTCCCATGTTTTTGCTACGAACAGCTTTTCTGTACCTCATTCCTTGGTGTGGTGCTCCCTCCCCCTACTGTCCCGCTCATGCCCCTTCCTCCCTCCCCCCTCCATCCCTCCTTCCCCCTTTCTCCCTCCACCCATCCATCCTTCTATCCCTCCCTCCCTCCATTCCTCCCTCCCCCTCCCTCCCTCCATCCACCCATCCCTCCACCCCTCCATCCACCGAGTAAGCATGGGGTACCAAGCACTATACCAAGGGGCAAATGGGGGCAGAGACTAAGAATGGGCTGGTTCTTGCTCATTAGGCACTCAGATTCCAACCAGAATCAGTCTCAGCAAGTTGCTATGATGTAGTTATGGCCTGGGCTACACAGAGACAGGCAGAAGGAAACCCTGAACTTAACAAACTGGACCTGGAAAACTGGTGAAGCCCCCCTGTAGCGTGAGGTTTTCTTGGCCCGGTTTGATCCCACCACCCTTCCCTGCTCCAAAGAAGCACACAGATGCTATATGGTTATAAAGTTGTTGGCTGGTGACTGGGGCTTCTTATTGGCTAGCCCTGTCTTAGTTATGAACCCATAGCTACTAACCTAAGCATTTCCACACCATCTTTGTCTTACCGGAGAAAGGTCCGGGGACCTGTTACTCCTCTGGCATCCTACATGGTGACTGGCTCATCATGTCCGCAGAGAAGAGGAGGGCGCGATTTCCTGTTTGTCCCTGCTTATATTCTGATTTTGCCCAGCTATGTCACTGCCTGACTGTCTGTACAAACCTCCAGGCCTCTATGCCCAGTCACGTCACTTCCTGGTATCACACGGCGACTCCTCTCTGCCTACACTTCCCAGAATCCTCCTTGTCTCCTAGTCCTACCCATCATCCTACCTGACCAATCAGTGTTTTATTCATCAACCAATAAGACAGACATATACGCGGAAGAACCTTTCCCATCAGCCCTGGGAGCAGGTCTGTACATCCGGGGAGAGGGGAGTCACACTTGGGAGTGGTTTGGGCCAGGGAAGGGCGGCGTTTCAGATAGCTGACTAGAGAAAGGAGCTGTCAGTGCACGTGGGTGGGTCCAGACCAATAGGAAATGGCGAGGCTGGAGGAGTATGAGGACCGTGCTGTGGGAGGCCTGACGTTCTCTGCAGTAGTTAGGGAACTGTTGTGCAACTATTGGGTAGTCCTGTGCAGATGGCGTGTCAGCAGGTGTTGCTGTGCCAGGGTTAGGAGACAGATAAAAAAAAACGAATGGATCTGATGGATATTTCAGCCATCAAACGGACAGACGTGGTGAGGGACTGGCTGCATGTGTGGGTGGAAGAGGAGGAGTTGCTTTCATTGGCGTGCTTCCTCCCAAGACCTCCAAACTCCCCTGAACTGGTTTCCCTAGGTACACCATGGACTCCGGGTTTTCTTTTTTTCTGGTCTTTCCATAAGGGAACCCAACTCTGCACGTTTCTGTGCATCTACGTGGAGGCGATGTCTTACATTTGAACAATAATATGTTTTCCTGCTTTGTCTGGGTTTGGCTCTTTATTGTGGGGCCCTTGGCGACTCCGCTGTGAGTCCCTTATTCCCCTGAGCCCGCTTCTGAGGGAGACAGGGTGTAGGGTGCTAGCATGTCCACACTTGTGCTAGTGTGGCGGGAGGCGGTAGAGCAGATTAGGGAACAGAGGGAAGTTCAAACGCTGAGCTCGCAGCCCAGGTGCCCTGTTGGTGTTTGTGATATGTAATAAGTAACATTCCCAAACGGTGCACAAAATAAAGAGAATGTGTGTTTTCCTTCTAGGCATCTTCAAGGGAAGACTGGAGCTCAGCAACTATTTTCTTGCTACACAAATACTCAGATTATTTCCTATTCCCCAGCTCAAAACCAGGGTAAGGGCAGGATTCTCCACTGTGGTAATGACCGCGTCAGTATTCTCCCGTCTTAGAATCCACTAAAGGTTCACTGATGGGGGAAGTCCTTTTGTGTATATGTTGTCCTATTGGTTGATAAATAAAGCACTGTTGGCCAATAGGGAAGCAAGATAGGTGGGACTAGGAGTCGAGGAGGATTCTGGGAAATGTAGTCAAGAGTAGGAGTTCCCATGCGATCCTGGGGGGAGAGGGCGCAAGTCTGGCCTTCTCTGTAAGATAAGACCTTATAAAAATGTATATTAAGCCAGACGTTGGTGGTGCCCGCTTTTAATCCCAGCACTCAGGAGGCAGAGGCAGGCGGATCTCTGTGAGTTCAAGGCCAGCCTGGGCTAGTGCCAGGATAGGCTCCAAAGCTACACAGAGAAAAAAAACCATATATATATGTATATGTATGTATGTATATTAGTAATTATGGGTTAATAATTAAGTCAGAAACCACAGGAAATGGCCAACAGCTTCATAATTAATATAGCGTCCTGCGTGTTCATTTGGGACTGACGTGGCTCTGAGACCAGGCTGGCGGGAAGAAGCCCGTTACGGTTCACTATACCGACTTGCTGTAGGGTTTAACAACACGGCTTGAGAAACGAGACACATCATGTATGGATTCAGCAGCCCTTCTCCATTCCCTCGCTAACCGCCTCTAACCTGCCAGCTTCAGTTGGAGATTTTCTGCTTCTGCTGCTTCTTTCAGAGAGGGGGCCGCTATACGCTTATTAACTCCCCGCTTCCCTCATACTTCCTGCACAACTCTAATATCTTGTGTGTGTGGAGCGCCGTGTTTCTTCACATCCATACACAAATTTCTGTCCCTGAAACCTGGCCCAGGGTGGCTTCACGCCAGGCTGACCGCATTAACTGCCTCAGTTCTACAAGCCTTCCTGACCACATGTGCTGCTGCTGACGATAATATTCCTCTGTAATTTCATTTACTGCCATTGGTTTTCCCATCCTCTGGTTTTGAGATTAGACACTTTGACTTTGGGCAGTGGAATTGGTATAAATAAGAGCCTGACTCCAATTGTGATGTTAGGCCATTGATAACATTTAGACTGTTGGGGTACCCTGAATTGAGGAGGGGTCCCCAAGCTGGATTCGTCACCCCAAGGATCAAAAGTCCATGCGCCAATTGATGCAACACGCAAGAGGCTTTAATTAGGCATCTGCAGATGGGCCTCTCAGTCAGCTTTTAGACTGATTGGCCCCGAGGTTCAGTTACAATTAACTTTTAAAGACAAAAACCACAAGCCTTTGGGAGGGGTCCCTATCTTGTGACGGGGGGGGGGGGGGGTGGTACATGACTACTGACCAGGGGAAATAGATGTCTTCCTGACCTACACGTTGTAAATTCCTCAAACCTTGGTATGAGTTAATCATCTCTCCCTAAGTAAATGGTGGTTCCCACAAATCTTGTTTGCCCATCTCTGACGCCCTGGTCAGTTCTTCACAGGTGGTCAGCAGCCCGGAATTGGCTTTTTGTGGGTTTACAGCCCTTCTGCAATTAAGGTTGCTAAACCATACATTCCATTCTGTGGTTTGGCCAGTTCCTGGGATGGGGTCCTTTGTTCACTTCCCAAGTTCTCTAGTGGGGTGCCCTCCCCCTGTTTAAGCTTATATTTTATTTCTATAAATTCGGGGTCTTTCAAGACTTCTACGCTTTCTTCCTGTGGTGTTTGCATGAGAACAGTCCTTACAGGCTCATGTATTAGGATGTTTGATTCCCAGTTGGTGGACTGTTAAGGAAGCATCAGGAGGTGTGGCCTTAGAGAGGGTTGCCACTGGGGTGGGTTTTGAGGCTCAGGCTCCCTTCCTCCCTCCCCCCCCTCTTTCTCTCTCTCTCTGCCATGTGGTTGTAGGCAAGGCATGAACTCTCAGCTGCTACTCCAGTGCCACGCCCACTTGCCTGCTGCCATGATTACAGCCGTGAAGATCATGGACTAACACTATGAAACTGTAAACAAGGCCCCCCAACTAAAAGCTTTCCTTTATAACCTGCCTTGGCCATGGTGTCTCTTCACAGTAATAGAACAGTGACTAAGATATTCCCCTACCGCTGTCTCTACGTCAGGAAATGCATGGACATCCTCCGATAATAACCCCTCTCTGTCCCTATCACTAGACAGGATCAATCTGTTTTGTTTTGTTTTTGTTTTTTTTTTTTTGTCTTGCCATTTCAGATTATCCTGATCCCTATTGTGTGTGCAATCAGCTCTGTGCATACAATGGCACCAGCCTATGAATCAGGGGCAGAGTGGGGCCTCAGCATCAAAGGGTGTCTAAACAAAAGTTAATGTATGTGACACTTGTACATAGTTGGGAAAGTGCTCCCTTGTCCATGGCCATGTAGGCAAAGCACATGGGATAGTACGCTATTGCCCAGACCCCTCCATCCACCCATCATGGACCCCAGAGTTGTGAGCAACTCATCTCATGTGAACAGCATCTCCCGGTTAAGCCACAGTGGCCTCAGCAGCCTCAGGAAGACCAGGTAATATTAGCCAGGTCCACCAGAGATCAGCCTCATCTCCAAACTAGTGAGCTAAATGGTTATCGTCTATTTCTTCATGGTTCTGTGGTCTGATGAAGCCCTGTTGCCCCAATAGATAAGTGAGGAATCAAGCCTGTGGACTTCTAGAGTGACCTTTGGGTAGATGATGCGTCTTCAAACATTAGCAAGTCCTGCTATAACCAGCAGGTTCAAAAGAGAAGTCAAGGGTTAGGAGCAGAACTTCCTGTTTAGTTCTTGCCCCTCCATTTTTAAGAGTTTATTTTGTTTAAAAAATTTTTTTGAGCTAGGACTCTTAATAAGCAATTAAAAAAAAGCCTTAAGTAAGATTAGCAATTTGCACCTTTTTAAAAATTAACAGCACTCTGTTGTTTTGATATTGAGCTCCATTATCAATTTGCATCTTTAAAGAGGTGTAACCTTTCTCAGATATTTTGCTCTGTGTTCTTATATTTAACGAGCGAGGCTTGATTTCTTTTCTTTTTTTTAACATTGCTTATGTTGCATTTACTTCTGCACAATTAAAGCAAGAGGGAGGAAGGAAAAGTTACCCGAGGCTCAGGAATCGGGAACTCCACATAGGCTTGGGGAACTCGCAGGCTGTTCAAAACGGGGGAGTGATCCTACCGAGAGGCAGCCCCGCGTGCTCACAAAGAAAGAAAGAAAGTTCTAGAGTTTTGGGAGACATATTGTACGAGTTACTCCCTTGTTGCTGTGATGAGAATACCGTGAACTCTGTAAAAGCAGCCAGGAGGAGGAAAAGGGTTTGTTACAGCTTAGGGCTCCAAAGGGATAGTCTCCCGTGTAGGGAGGGAAAGCATGGTGGGAGCTGGCAGATCACATTTTTAATCCACATAGGAAGGGTGTGGGGCAGAGTCCACAAAGCCTGCCAGTGACATAATCCCTCCAGCAGGGCTATGCGCCCTAAAAGTCGCATAACCTCCAGAAGCACCACCAGCAACCAGGGATCGATGGAGACGTTTCTCATCCAAACCATAGCATATGTCAGTGGGAATTTCTTGAGTGGCTGGAGACCATGCCCTATTCTTTGCTACAGGAACGCCAAAGAACAGTTTAGTGCTGCCACCAGCAGTGTGGTGTCACGGACTTTTTCCCCCATTGTCTACGCAGAACGGTGTTGAATTTTTTTTCCACCTTCAGCACTTCCCTTGACAAGACGGTCCAATAAGCTGTGCCTTGAGGTATCTTGCGGCAGAAGGTCCACACATCCCGGTCATCCTTTGCTTTCCAGTCAATACCTTCTCTGGAAGGATGATGCTTGCTGGTGGCCACGAGCAGCTCCTTCCAAGTAAAAGCAACAAAGTTTCTTTGCTTGATCAGGAATAAAAATCTATCAGCCTTATTTCCCAATAGAAGGAAATACATTTTAACAAGTAGATTTTGGGAGGGGGGTTCTGGAGTGATGGCTCGATGGGTAGAGAGCTTTCTGAGCAAGCTTGGGGACTTGAATTTGACACCCAGGACCCATGTAAAAGCCCTGGTGAGACAGCATGTTCCTAGAGTCCCAGTCAGGAGGTGGAGACAGAATGACCCAAAGAGCTTGCCTGCCAGCTAGTCCAGAGGGAAACCCTGTCCCCCCAAGGTGAGATGGGGAACCACTGGGGGATACAGCTGACTCTGACCTCTGGATCCACACACGTACTAACAGGCATACACATGTGTACTCACATATGACATACATATGTACACACACACACACACACACATACACACACTCTACAAGCATGCAGGCACACCTCCTCGTGTACACATTTTTAAATTATTCCAAATTATGAAACACTTCTTTATGACTATGTAACCAATAGGCAGCGGTCATGAAGCCCCAAGCAAAAACAATGTGTTCCTTTTGTATCAATGGACTAGTGACAACTGGAGCCTACCTTATAAATTGTCTCAAACCCAGGACCTGGAACAGAGCCAGGCCATCAAAATTTCTTGATATTCTGCGAGGATGAATCTTTGTTGAAGGTGCAGGTATCCTTGGTACTTTTGTATCGTTCTGTGTGAAAACCTAAAAGCTTGGTTTTTATCTTTAATTAATGTCGTTTGCCTCCAATTAATTGTTCTTCGGTACAGTGAGTAGAAAGTTGTCAGCAATCAGGGAGGTGGAAATGTGAAGCACTCAGGCAGGTTCTGCCTCGGCATCTACTGCACCATCTAAACCATCCTCTAAGGCTGGTATATGCTTGCTTGTGAGGGTGTGCTGTCCCCTGCGGCAATGTTCTGTAGCTACTTATGTGGAGTTTTCTTTGGGGAACCTCATTCTGGAAATATCACAGGATATTTTAGTTTATCATTATTAGTGCAGTCGAATGATCTTTGAACTTTTTTTGTATTTTGTATTTCTAAAATCCTAATAGGTCAAGGTGTGAAATGTGAGAACAGCTTACATATGTTGATGAAGTGGACCTGACTTATGGTAAGATTAGTTCATTTGTTTTTTTTCAAAGATGATAGAGAGATATGAAGAATTCTCTTAAAAATACTTTACATTTATATTATTAATATTCTTTGTGTGTGCATGTGCACACGGTGCACGCTGGTGCATGCGTGTGCATGTGTGTGTGCGAGCGTGTGTGCATGTGAGTGCATGTGTGAGCGTGTGTGTATGCATGCATGTGTGTGCATGCGTGCATGTATGTGCACACATGTGTGTGGTGTGTGTGTGTGCACCCACACAATGTCAGGCACATGGAGTTGGCTCTGTTCTTCCATCCTTACATGGGTTACAGGGATCGAACTCAGGAGCCACCAGGACTTGTACAGAAAGTACGTTTACTCACTGAACTATTTTGCTGACCCCAGGCGAAGTACTTGGAAAGGAATGAAAATATTTAAAATGACAAAGATGTGTAAAACTTGCCACATAAAAATGTACCGTATTTGAAAATTTAGGAAGAAAGGCAGCCTGTGCTGCCCATGAACAGCTCTGGCTGTAGAACGTCCTGAATAGGCGGCTCTGGCTCAGCTGTAAGCTACAGGCCCTGGAGAGGAGGGATGCATGGTGTCTCTGACGGGCTGTTCTCTACTACAACAAGGGTGGGTTCCTAGCAGATGCCACTTGGATTCTCAGCTTTATTTTTTTCTTTGCTGTTTTGTAAATCACACAGAAATCCACAGTGGTTGTCACAAGCGAAGCAAGATGGGGCCTGGGGCAGCTGCCCCACCCAGGCTCGGGAGGGGCCCCAGTTAGCCGCCTGCTAAGGTCTTCCATGATTTTTATCCTTTCACATTCACTAAAAGTCACATCGGCGTGCATAGTTTTAAAACAGGTCTCAAAATACGACCGGGGCCGTGCAAGTTAACTTTCACTTGGCGCTTTACATTTGAGAGCGAGCGTACCTTGGCGAACTCCGAAAGCAGGGCCAGATCCAGCGTCGTCGCTCTTCGTTGCCATTACTGTTTTCTGAGGCAGCGTCTCACTTTGTAGCTGGCCTAGCTTGGACCAGAGAGCCCTCCTGCCTCTGCCCACCCCCCAACGGCTAGGATCAAAGGGGTGTGGTTCCACGCCAGGCCCGTGTTCATTTCTGTGCACACAGAGTGGACACCCATGGCACCAGTGATATAAACTGTTGCTACAGTTCTCCTGGTTTGCCCCCTTCCCTTCCCTTAATCCTGCTTCACTTTCCCAATATTGCCATCCACATTCACAATTCGGTGCGTTCCTTCAGGTTTCTCTATTCTCAGGCAATTCTTACTCACAGGAAGATACACACAGGTGTATTTCAGTTCATATCATGAACCTTTCATACATTTATAAAATGCTCAGTTTAAATTGAAGTTGGGAAAGACCCCTGCGTCCCCCTCTCCTCCCTCCCTCCCTTTCTCCATATTTCTCCCCTCTTTCCTTCCTTCCTTCCTTCCTTCCTTCCTTCCTCTGTCCCTCCCTCCCTCCCTCCCTCCCTCCCTCCCTCCCTCCTTCCCTCCCTGCCTCCTTTTTGAGACAAGTTCTCCCTATGTAGTCAAGGCTAGCTCGGAACTCACTATGTAGCTGAGGCTGGCCTCAAATTCCTGATTCTACAGTCCTAGCTTCCCATGTGCTGGGGTTACAGGCATGTACCACTGTATCCAGTGATCTTCCCTGAAATCTTCTTTGGTTAGGGGCTGGTCTTTCTTTAACCTCATCTTAGGAAAGTCTCGGATTCAGCCATTCCTCCTGTCTTGCTACATAACCCACTTAGGCAACCTCACGCAGTCACTTCAATGAGCATGCTTTTGCTGTTCACATCCAAAGGTCTGTTCCCAATTTAGAAATCTATTGCCCCCCAACATTCAACTTGTGCCAGATATTTCTGACTAAGCTTTCCACAGGTACCCCAAATTTGATGTGCCTTTAGTTTCCTTTCCTGCACCTCTTTTGCCCCCAGCATCTATTGAAAATGTGCGATGGCCATTCCGATACAATGCTGGAACTCAACCGCTTTAGTCCAGCACGCGAACGTCTGCCTCTCCTAACTTCTCATCTAGACAGCCATGAATAGATTACATCTCTCCTCGTTCTCACTAGTGTGCCAGTTGTAAGGCTTTTATGAGTTACGGTAAGGTTTTCTATTTTCTTTTTTTTTTCATTTAGTTACCAAACTGTGGCGAGTCCCTAGGAATGTATAACGTTCAGCCTGTCAAAGAAAAATGCCTTATTATTTGGAGCAAGGTTTGGAAGTATGATAGACTTATTTACACGAAGCTTCTACTTGTTCTTTGGGGGTGGAAAGGGCAAACTGTTTGCTAACGTATAAGATAAAAACAAAGGCGAGCAATGAACAGAGAGAGAGAGAGAAGCCGGACAGAGACGATGTCAGAACAAGGAGGCCACGTGTGTGGGTGCCAGGGTAGCCTCAGCACCTCACCCTTCCCTTCCACGTCCCGCCCTCGTGGTCGGTGCTGGGGCTGCCGCCTTGGACTGCTTTGTAGTTATTCCTCCCGGTAGCTGCTTTTGAAGTGTGCTGTCTTGGAGCCAGAGTGAGCTGCGCAAACACAGAATAGCAGCCGAGAGACTTTCGGGCTCTTGAAGCATCGCGGTACTCGGATAAACGTGGATGGCTTTAAGGGCTAGGGTTGGCTCAAATTCACCCGGCAGAAGGACAATACATGAACATAAAGACCTCGAGTGATGGGAAAGTGTCCACAGAAAGATCACCGGTGCATCCCGGGGGAGGGGGCGGGGCGGGGCGGGTGAAGAATAAGATGGCCAGACTCGAGCTTTTGTGAAGCGCCACACCCAAGCATCCCTCATCTGCGTTCCGCTTTGTCAACTAAAAGCTAGGCTGCACTCGTAAATATCTCCCCGGGACTTGACTGCATTCTTATCTGCTCAGGGAGTGGAGCCGGGATGGAGTGGAGAAACGCATTGGAAAGAAGGTGTAGTAGACAGCAGTGATGTAGCAAAACTGGGGACGGCAAGGAAGAAGAGCTAAACATTCTGACGCTGGGCAGGCACCATTTTGCCAAGAATCCTTGTCTTTGTCAAATCTTGGACTTGTGCAGGGCTCTGAAAATGTTTTGGAACTAGGAGACAAACTGAGCCACGGCTTTCTCCTGTCTAGATGTTGAGTCTCCTGGGCAGCTTGGGCAGTCTTTCATCATCCGGGTCTTCCTGTCGGGGTAAGCCAGCACGGCTTGGGGTGCTACAGAGGGTAGTGAGTGCTGAAGGCTTCTCAGGATCCCTCAGCTAGCTCCTGGGTTGTCGCCATGCCTAACCGATACCCATGTCCACAACTTACGGTTTTCCAACTTTACAATGATATAAAAGAGGCATTTGTAGAAACTGTGCTTTCAACTCTGAATTTGGGCCTTGCCCCACAGTTGTGTTACTCTGGCAGTCCTGGGAGGCCGCCATGATTCCCACCTCCAGTCATGAGTGCAGTCATAAGGAACGTGGCTGTTTCTCTGCAGTGGACCCAAAGCACAAGACACTAAGAATGTTCCAGCATCCATAAGAGAAGGCAAGTACTAGCAGGATTCAGTTGACTTGGAGGAGAGAATGAAACACCAGCCTTATTTTTTGCAAAAGGAGAACCTAGGTTAATCTCCTACCTCTGGATCACAATGTCATTAGCCTTGGAAACAAGGGTGGACATTAAATATTGACTCATACCCAGAAGAGTGTGCACTGTTGACAGTGAGGGGCCCTAGGAGGAGTGTGAGCCACCAGGCTGGGGCTGGCTTTTCTGCACAGCTGCTACAAGAGGCGGAGCCTCTGCTGATAGCATGTGAGCCGGCCTTACTCTTCAAAGGTGATGGCCCTGAACACGTGTCCTCCACCACCCGACTGTTACCTTGAGGGACAAAGCCTGGGGGTCTATGCTGGCCCCACCACAAAGTCCTCACTGTTTTCGCTTCCCTTTCAGGAAGTAGCAGGTAGGCGATGACCCCCTTTGGAGGTAGAGCATCAGACAGAGGCATGCTTTGCCGTTAAATGTAGACTGGAGAGAAGAAACAGCTAGGAATGGGTTAAACTCCAGAAGCCCCAGAACGGCATCTCAAAGAACAGAGAGGAGATGCTGGCTGAGCTTTGGAGTTCAGCTCTCCTACAGGTTTTAACAACACTGTCAGCTGCATACTCACCTTTCCCTGGAAAGTGGAGAGGTTTGGCCACATTTCTTGGGTGGACGTGGTGTTGCTTAGAATAATGTATCATTCTATGGTGATCTACCAACTGTTTCAAAATGTGTTTTTTTTTTTGTTTTTTGTTTTTTAAATTGGGCATGTGTGGGTGGGAAGACAAGGTAAGGTGATATAAGCTAAATATATACAAATCAAGGACTTACGGGAGAAACAAGGGTGTCCATCTTTTAAACTAACATTTCTTGCAAGTAGACCACATCTGAGGGGGATTTCTCTCAACTCCCCTTCCTCGGAGTCCTCCTTGGAGCCCTTATTGTTCAGGTTTTCCATTCTCCAGCATGTCACCTGGGAGACAATACTACACACAGGGCTCTGGAGATGAATTTCAAGTGTTGAGTCTTCTAGCGAATTCAAAATGTATCCAAGCCTCTTCTCCCATTCGTACTTAGTATTCCTTATAATTTCCTGAGGAACTTTCCTACTGGGAGATGTCTCAGACAGTGACAAACCGAATCCTCATTAAAACAAAGAAAGGTTAAGGGGGAGAAAAAATAACCTATTTAAAACGAGGTACCGCCCCAGTCTTTCAGCCATAAATTGACAATAGGATTTATATAAATCCATAATTGTATCTTTTACCTGCAGTTAGGGCAGTTAATGATGGAAAAGGCATGAGGCTGATCGTGTGGCTTTAATGAGGATTCTTTCTACAGAGTTAAAAAAAAAATTCCGCCAAATTAAATTCTGCCAATTTACTCCATTGCAAATGGTGTACCACCCTGTGAGCCAAAAAGAAAAAAAAAGTAGAAAGAAAAAAAACGAGGAGGGGGGAGAGAAAAAAAGTCATCAAGTAGC